TAGCGAGTGCTGCGGGAGTGATCTGCCGCCGCGAGCAGCAACGGACATACACGGGGTACACCAATTAAGAAAAGCTATTTTAAACAAATTTCCGTTCTCCTCCCTTGCCCAGAAGAACTCACCGAACGCAAATTAAAACGTCTGTTCATTTTAAACCCCAGATTACTTTTTTGCCACCGCTGACAAAATCAGACCTTTGTAAAACGCTGATTATGAGTGACCGCACTTCAAACAACAGCAGAGCCTTTGAAACCTGCGCCGGTGGAAAGCCAGCATGTGTAAATCCACCGACACAGAGAAGAAAAGATTTTACTTTATTTGTTGCTCTGTGCGGTGGGAATAGGGAGCCCAACATCTCCCAAGTTGACCTGAAGAAGTCCTGTCAATACCTGTGGCTGCCAAACATATGCACTATGATGCAATTTTTATAACGGGAAAGGTCCGCTACGCATTTTTTGCACACACGGTGCACGAGGTTCAGGAGATGCAGTTCTGTGGAACAAACACGCTCTCCAGAGTGTTCTGCCAGCATGTGTAATTCCGGTCAGACGTTAACCTTGCTGAATATAACAAAATGCATTACTTTAAACACACACACACATATGTACACACGCAGCCACACATACACACACTCGATTTACACTTTTATAGCTCGCACATCCCGACTTTTCAGTGTCTTTGCTGCCAGTATGCGCACAGATAAAAGAAAACATTAATGTGGATTAAGGTACTAAGAATTTATCAACATCAAACCACCAGTGTTTTGCCTTCTACCCTTCTGAACCGTAGTCAATAGATCTAAATATTTTACTGCACCCTGGCCAATTCATTGTTTGATGTTTAAAAACTCACCCAGAATCAAAGAAAATTTATTAAATTTCAGCCCCCAAATGAGATACTATTAGCTTTGAAAGTCAAGTTTAACTGCGATATTGATGATTCTCTTTTTTCTGTGACAAAATTCACGAGGGAAATCCCTATGTCAAAGTACAAAAGCAGATTGCTAATACTAGCGGGAAAAAAAACAATGTATAAGCAATGTAGGTATAACACACACACAACACTGACAGTGGAAGTCCTTTTAACCCTATTAGTTTCAAACTCTCCATTTCAGTACTGGGGCCTGATACTCGCCGAACAATAAAATACAAAAGCCATTTTTTACAGTGGCTGAATTGTGGTAAACATACACCATTAATATCACCACAGCAGAAAAGTATGTATCAGCTTGATGCAAAGATTTACAACTAAAAAAACAACCCCAGAACTTTTCGTGTTTGCAAATAGTTGGATTGTGAAGAGTGAATCTCATTACCAACATGCATACTTAGAAACAGAAAATGAAGCTAGCCTTTTCCTTTGAAAAATACTCACAAGGGTTCAGAAAAAATTCTAAGAACAAAAGACTGGGCATATACTGTACAAATATCATTACACTGCTTCAGTCCAGGTGAAAACGGTCTTCAAGATGGCTACCTATTGAAGGCATGGAAAGCTACAACGGCCATGCCTGCATGGAATCATGCTGGATGGGATGTACCTATATGAAATCTTCAGAACTAATTTCATCACTTCCTGACTATTTGCTTTTTGAGATCCAGAAAGATACTGACAGGAGCTGGGAGACTCTGATTATTTCCTCATTCTCTAAGGAAGTAAGCATACTACTTGCACATACACTTACATTACAGAACTATTACGCAAAGGTAAAACTGCTGATTTTATTTTCAAAATGTTTTCGGGTTTTTTTTTATAGCTTGACAGGGAAGAAAACAATCTTATGTAGTTAAGCTTTACAACACAAGTTTCAGAGCTTTTTTTGTATTTAATGACACTTCTTTTTTTTCCTCCACATGAAGTCTAAAGCAAGACTATTTTATCTGAGACGTCTCCTTAGGCTAAAGAACTAATGCTATAATCTAAAAATCCCGATCAGCTAATCAGGCTTACTGCAATGATTAGAAATGTCTAAAACCAGTTCCACCTCTTTACGGTAAAAATTTAATAGAGATAAAAAATATATATACATTTATCTACAGCCAATGCTAGTGAAGATTTTGGCTATTTCTGATTTTGGTAAATGTAATTTTTTGGTAAACGTAAAAAGCTGCAAGAGCGATTTCACATGGAGCATAGTAAGTACTGTGACAGTGGGCTGCTAAGTATAATCGTTAGATTTTTTCATTTTAGCCTTATATAAATACTGTATGAAAACAGGCAAAATCACAAACAGACCCCCACAACTCTACTACAATACTCAAAACACTTTAGAACAAAGGAGCACAGTGACTTATGACAGTGTTTAACTTTTTAATTAATTAAGAGACCAATACAGAAGACAACACTATAGCCACTCAATTTAAAATCAATAAAATACTGATGAATTCAGATCAAAGATGAAACTGAATAATAAACTGAAGTCACACGATTGACTGAACCAACGTGTAGAATTTGATGGTCTAATTCTACACGTCCAAAAATGATATTAAAAATTCTCTGCTGATCAGAGATAATAATTTTGTCTACAGTCCACTTCTGTGCTCACTTCTTTGTTTTCCCTCTGCATAGTCTGAGCTGGTATGTCCAGATATGCCAACAGAGATAGTGTACTAAGTGCCAGCAAGTAGTAAATGGTATTAAGATGTGCTTACCCCCCGCCCCCAATGTCTTTGCCCAGTTATTGTGGGACTGGTAAAACGAAACTGAGATTTTAGTTCCTTATTTTTGACCTAATTCAATGCTTTCTTATGCTGAAAAGAAAATAAGATTATTTATGGATATAAACTTCACTATGTAAGCTATATAGGAGAACCTTCTATAAGTTCAGAGTTCACCAATTCTACATAAAAAAATAGTACCTAGAAAGTAAAATACTTTGGGCTTATTTTCCTTTCACTTCCTACTACTATTTTTAATAGTATATCATCTGCAGTTTAAACAGTGGAACAAAAACTGCAACAATGCAGTGATTCAGTGATAAGTGAATGGTAAACAATGATTTAGTCTGCTTGACTTTGAGGTGACCATGTTGCTGAGGTAACAGAAGCTACAAGTATGTCATGAAAATCATTCTAAAAGAGTGCAAGCAAAATGGTTTCTATCACCCCATTACGTGTTATGCATGTGACAGAATTAACAAAAATGGTTTTAGAACTTTTTAAAGCAGAAGTAGGCAGTTTGAATGCAAACCACATCTCAGTCTTAACCACAGTCTTGTAAATATGTGGCCGATTTAGCTGCACAATATCCACACCTCCAGCAGCCTCCAGGGAGGCTATACTGCAGAAATCCAGGACACACACACTTGCTGAACACAGTCCTTTGACTTCTTTGATGGGTAGTACTTTAAGAGAAGTAAGTTATATAGTAACTCATTTGAATTGGAAAATCTTTGTTAAAGTGGCACAAATGACCACGGAACTAAGGAGAAAAATAAAGAAGTATATACATTGGTGGACAGAATTAAAACCTTCATGAACACTCCCTAATTTTTTAATGTTTAGTTATGAATTGTTGATACTCTCTTACTCTATAAGAAAAAATACAAGGGAATATACACGAAGGAAGTTGCACCAACAATAGTACTGAACGCTGTTGGTAACAGTAGTTCTTCAAGTAAGTTGCCAATACAGATGATCTTTCTAAGGATATACCCATACACTGTCATTCCAGAGTACGGGCTCTCTAGAAAACAGTGATCACATGTGAATGGTTAGCCCTTTAAGGGAACACAGACCCCAAAAGATTTGCTGAAGTATTTGGCACGTGACATCCAAAGAAGTATATACCACAGCACCCTGTCAGATGCAAGAAACAACGTGTTAGTATCACCTGCTCATAAACACCAGAGCCTGAGTCTGCCCTGAAAAGGGCCTGTATAATCACGGACACAATAGTTGCCATCAGGATGTTTCAGGAATCAAGGATCGCTGAAGAAGTAGAAAGACTGCCTGTGACAAGACTGTGTTGCTTAAACTGAAGGCACTTTAAATCAAGCATCTGAAAACTGTAGCCACATTTACACAGTGGAACAGGTGAGGAATGAAGTTGGGAACCAAACCAGTCAATTGGATTGCAAAAAAAAAAAGTTTTTTTTTCCCCCCCCCCCCCCCCCCCCCCCCTTCCCCAAAGGCTAAACCAAACTACACCAAACACAGCGTATCTTGCTTAGACAAAATAGTGCT